CAGACAGACACACAGACAGACACACAGACAGACAGACAGACAGACAGACAGACAGACAGACAGACAGACAGACAGACAGACAGACAGTAAATCAGTGGCAGTACCTGTGAGGAATCTGTGCCAGATACAAGGTCTTGTCTTTGGGACAGGCACTATCTTGATCTGCACCAGGTTGGGGGGTTAAGAGAAACACAAAAACATATTATTTATATTTAACTGGTTATTCGTGAATGTATTCATACACGCACCATCTAACAGTTACTTTATGGGAGCACACAGCCACAGATACATGACATTATAAGATAAGATAAGATGGACTTTTATTATTCGCCATGGGGAAATTCAGGAGTTAAAGCAGCCACAGAGTGAGAGTGAAAAACAGGACAGTACAGACTCTATATATACTATCAAATATACATCAAACTCCCACCAGTGTAACATACCTGTATGACTGAAAGCTCGTCTGATCACACACTCCTCAGGGATGTCCAGCAGCAGAGCCAGGTCCAGTACAGGAGGTGGGGGTGTTGGAGGTTCGGGTGGATTAGGATCAGCAGCAAGGTCTGTCCTGCTGTTCACAACACAATTCCCTTCATCTACACACCCACCCAGGGCTCTCTCTAGCAGGAAGGCCTGGCTGATGTCCAATGGAAAGCCATCCAGGATCCATCCTGACTGAGCTGGAACCTGCCTATTAAGGACACCAACAATATGTCACTGTCAGGAGAGTGATCATGGGGTTTGTTTATTATACATTTTATTCTAACTGTTTGTAAAAGTAGGACTTTATCCTTGACACTTCTCTGGACTATTGACTTTCAAATTAATTGAATATGGTCAAATGAGTATACAGTTGACTAAATCACATTTTCTGTTTTTAATATCAATACAGTTAATGAGTTTACCTGATAGCCTCTACTATGATGTCCACTACCAGATCATAAGGGATGGGGTTGCCTTCCCTCAGCTCTTTGTCTGCAGCCGCTCCCTGCTTGGCCCGGGTAGACAGCTGCTCAAGAAAAACACATGGAAACAGGAATTAGTTAAATAAGTTTCATTCCAGATAGGTCCACATTTAATCTGAAAAAAATTATGTATTTTACTCAATATTCTCAAATGTTTACATTCAATAGAAATTCATAATTTTGTATCATCAAGGATAACGGTTGAAAGTTGGTTAGCGGTATAAATTGTATACAGGTTACATTATTGTCAGCAGATCACAAACAACACTCACTCTTAAGGTGCTCTTTCTACTTGTCTCTTCAGTTTCAAGGTCTGAAAAACAATTAAATGATGAGTATCACATCAAAAAAACAAATTAGTGAAATGCTTCATATGCAGTGCATTTTTATCGGAAGCAAAAAACACTATGATATACATTAAAGTGTAGCATGCAATTAAATCACGCTGGCTTCAGTAACCCACCAGGCTCCAGTGATGTGCAGGATGTGAGCAAGTGCTCATTGCCTTTCTCTTCCTGCTCTTCTGTGAGCCGTACCTGATGTTTCAAATTCAAATGTTTAAGATCATTGAGGTTTTAACAGGTTTATACATTTTGGCACCAGCATTAACAGCTACTAAGATTTTCTGATTCAGATATTCTCATGAAAAGTCCTTTAAATCTTAATGATGTGATAAGAATAAATATAAAATTGAATACTGGTGAAGTTACCATCCTGTTATACTGTATCTGACAAACCTGTTCTCCATTTCGGTTAGCATCCAGCGCCTCTTCAATGAGCGTGTCCGCTGATAAAATATTGATGCCATGGGCTAGAGCAGGAAACAACACACATGCTCAGCACACCATACTTTCTTATACCAAAAATGTTTTGTCTACATTTTATCACTCCAGTAAATACGTAATTAAGTGGTGTGAAATTGTGTTTGTGCGAATGCTTGCATCTTTGTTTTGATCGCATGCTGTGTACCTTCAGCCAACTTGGCCAGGCAGGTGGTCTTGCCAGAGCAAAGCTTTCCCAGGACACAGGCCTTAAAGGTAAAGTGAGGAAATGAGGGTAAGGAGGGTTTAGTGATGGGTTGATAAACCATGTTCCTCAGTCGTAGGACAACGTGTCCAAGAATGTTGTTGTTGGTCAGGGGTAGTTTGGTCTCCCCTGCTTCCTCTGGCCATGCCCACTCATCTACCATGTTCTGAAAAAGTGACATTGTGGCCAAGTCAAAGAGGATCTTCACACTCAGATGAAGCAGTTCATCGCTTCAGTTCAGCGTTTGTGGGAATACACACAAGCAAGATCTGAAAACTCACTCCACTTGCTTTATAAACTCACAGTGTATTCATCATAGTCCTGGTTGTTCAGTATCTCCTGCTTCTCAAGCTCGACAGGATCTAGTGGGGGAGGGAACTCAATCTCTGGCTGCTGGCAGTGTATCGGCTCATAGAGAGGCAGACCATTGAACAGCAGTTCTTTCCACTCTCTCATGGACTTCTCTGGGATCTGACTGGACATGACAGCAGAACAAATTATAGAAGGCAAAGCTAAACTACAAATGTCCAAATGTATTTACATTGAATCAAAAATGTTTTGTCAATTGAGCCATAATAATGATTTAACTGTATTTCAATAATGTTTCATCTTAGAGTTCATATGATAGATATGTCAAATCTAGTGGAATGCACAAATCTATACAAAATGATTGTTAAGAATGGTTGTGTAGGGAGTGCATATATTTGGATATTATGTATTTGATAGTGAGAAGATTCAGACAGGATGTTAACACTTCCTGATTATATTGAACTACACTGGTCAGTTCCCATGTTGTTGATCTTTTCACAAGTTTATGACTCACAAAACATTTAGTTAAAAACAACCTTGCCCCTATAGTTTATTTTTGTATCTGTTTTTGCTTTATCGATGCCCTTCATCCATTTATTTTGTGACTTTCCTTTTGACCGTTTCCTGCCTTGAATGAATTAAAGCTGAACTTTCCTGTTAAATTGTTTTATTTGGTGTCAGGTTTTTGGGTGGTAGAGTCATTAGCCCATGTTTCATTATGTTGGTATAGTTCATTGTACCAACTGTGTCATCTTGTATACTCATTTAAAAATAGAGAAAATGGTATTCTGATCAATTAAAACAAATTAGATTATTCACTGCTGTACTGTTAAATGTGTTCAAGCATTGATAAATACCTCAAATAATGAAGTAGACTAAGTGAAAATTTATTTAAAACAACAGTAATTTCAACTCTTAAAATGTGATGGCTTAAATTACTTTTACAATCATTGCAGATGAAAGTTGATAACAATAATTGTGTGACATACTTCTCAGTGAGCTGTCGGTATTCTCCAACCTTGGTGGTCAAGTCCACTATCTGCTCCAAAATGTCCTTGCAGCTCTTAAAGTGCTTCTTGTATCTGCTCTGAGCTCGCTCAGCAGCATTCCTCTTACAGAATTCACGCTCCTTTAGGATATCTTCGGCACGGTCCAATTTAGCCTGCTGAGCCAAAGCCTATACCAGACCCCAGTCAGAGAAATGAAATAAGTGGAGAAGGCAGGATGTAAATGGTTCTGCTGGTTACCACCGTTAGTCAGTAAGTAAAGAAGGAAAGTGAAAGATGTCACATAGGTCATTTATTGTGCAAAAAACACGTTTTACTGTGTTTCCTTAAAGAGACACAAAGCAACAGACATCAGTACATGGCTGATATTAGAGGTTGCAGAAAAAAGGGAGAAATGTAAATCTTTGTAAGTAACGATTAATACAGTTTACTAATTTGCCAATAAACACAGCATCAATAATACCACATTAAAGCTTTAACATTTATGTACATTCAATTATATCTATTTGTTCCTAAATCATCTAAAATGAGCTTGACAATCTGCTCTGAGACTAATTGAGACATAACACCAGGACCATACTTTACTAAAACATACTGAATATTTAACACTGAAACCATGCTGGACCATGGCTGCATCCTTTGCCAATCATTTATCCAGGTATCTGCCTTTATTTATGAATTATATAGTCTAACTTTACCATTTATCTGTCTTTCTCTCTCGTCAGAATACCAAAAGCCTGGTTAATAACTACTTAAATACATCCTTTCTTCTCTTCCTATTACACCACCCATACTATCAATTACAGCCTAATACAAAATGACAATAGAGAGAATTATTCTTCTTCGTTATTCATCCTATCTCACCGCCTCCCTCTCCAGAGCTTCCAGGAAGTCCTTCTCTCTCCGCTGCTGGTACTGCTGCTCTCTGAACAGGCGGTTCTCCCGTATCACATCCTTCTGCATACGTATCTGCAGAAGCTGAGTTGCCAAACGGTGCTCCTGCTGGGTCTGACGTGTCAGACGCTTCACCAGCTGCTCATCTCGCCGGGCATCCTGCAGTGTGAGGGAGAGGTGGCTGATCAATTTTAGGAATGTCAAATAACACACTGTGAGAGCATAGCCTGTATCAGATGAAGTTTCACCTCTTGAGCTTCATGGGCCTTGAGCTGCTCCACCAGGAATCTGTCCCGTCTTTTCTCTCTCTTTTCCCGAGCTCCAGCACTTTCCTCAAGCCTCTGTCGGATATTCTGTATATACTTGCTATTAGATTGTAAGGTCAGCTTAGTTCCACTTTCAGGGACCTCACAGCCCTGGCTGCTTTCACCAGGAACAACATCTCTAGGGACAGGCTGACCACTAGAAATGAAAAAGTTCAATACACACTTGTAATCATTGTCCCAATGTAAGATTTTATCAGGTTGCCAAACGACCAAAGCAATACAAATATATCAATAAAGAATACCACATAAAAACAAAACAAATGAAGGGAATGTTCCCTATTGTCTCACCTTGAAGAGGAAGGAACAGCATAAGTAAGCAATTTCTTCCTTGTCTCGAACTGGGCTATTTCAGTCTTGACAGTCTGCAGACAAAAATGAACGACAATTGCAAAAACCAGAAGGACAAACAGACCCATGTCACTCCTTTACTTTTTGTGTAAGCTGTGAAAAGTTAAAGGATTTTTTGTTGAACTCATGGCATGAAAATTGCATTAGAGGTAGTATTGTATACAGAGGGTCATCTGTTGAAATTCCTTCTTAATCTGGAATATCCCAAAGAAAGACTTGGCAGAGAATTTGAATTAGAATGAATCTCCCCTCTGTAAACAAAGCAAGTGTTAAGCAATAACAAGCTATTAGCAGTGACTGGGAACATATGGCGAACAAGACGAACACAGAGTTATTGGGCCTGGATTGAAGGATATTTTTGAATGTCCATTGCAAGCATCTGCTTCTACAAACTCTATGCATACTTCTCGATAGCCATCAATGAAATTCCCTCTTTGTGTTGGTACATTTTCACATCATTCTTTAATCTGAATCCCACCTGCGCTTCTTGTTCATGGCGTTGATGCTGTTGTTGCCTTCTTTTAAGGTTGAGCTGTGAAGTGTAGGGAGGTGGCTTGGGCACCTGGACAGTAGCGGCCAGGTTACAAGTAATGATGCGTTTTTGCTTCTCACGAGACACCAGCAACTGCAACATAAACAGTTTCCACTCATTAGCATGACCCTTCTTTGCATCCATCAAGCGTCTGTGGCTCAATTCTAGTTGTATCAGCCGGGACAACATGTGAAGAGTTTATAAAGATATAACTAAAGATGGCCTTGAAGTCTGGTCAAAAATGAATACAGGAAAAATGTACTACAATACTGCATTTGACTTTAAATGTTTTCCAGTACCTTCTCACTGTTGTTCATTCTCTTCTCATCCTGGACTCTGAGTGGTCTCTGTTGCTGGATGGGACGGGTCATCTCAAACCTGTCGTCCATTGGCTGGTACTTCTCTTCATAGTGCTGCGAAATTTTCTGTAGCTTTTGATCTGCATCACGCTTTACCACTTGATGCAGTCGCTATGTCAACAAAGAAAAAAATATGCTTAATGTAACATATTTTTGTAGATATTGATTACTTCTTGTAGATATAAGATTAAGTTAAACTAAATAAAAACTTCAAAAAATCATTGAAAGAATAAAGGATAGACCACAGAGTAGTAGTTCCACTTATCTCAATATGGTTTTACAGAAATAAAATGTGCTGTTGCCATATGAAATGCACAAACTACAGTTACAGCTTGACAGTCCCCCTTACATCAGAGTAGATTTCATGCTCCTTTTTGTGCGAGCCTGCTTTGGCTGCGGGTTGCATGATTTCCATCAATGTGCCACTGATGTCTCCTTTCTTCTTCTTTTCAAGGGTGACATAGAGCTGGTAGAGGAGGCGTGTGGCAACACCCTGCTTCTCCTGCATCAGGTCCTGAGCTGTGTTCAGGTTGAAGGAGATCCCAAGTAACTTGAGTGTGGGCTCAAGGCGGTTGAAATTATTCATTCTGGAGATGGGGGTGCTATGAAATAAGATAACTTTCATTATTTAATTATTACTATGAGAAAACTTTAAATGAGCTGGAAAAATAAGTAACCGTCTGCTTGTTTTTCAACAAAAAAACAATAGATAGATAGATAGATAGATAGATAGATAGATAGATAGATAGATACTTTAATGATCCCAATTTGGGAAATTCTTTCATTACATAAGCAGCAGTGTGTTCAGACATTAAAATATAAATACTTAAAAAGTGCAATAGAGAATTACCAATTACAAATAAAATGACAGATAGCAAGAGGAAGAAAGAGGGCAACTTACTCTTTTTTCATAAACATACTGAAATCATTTTGCATCTGATATTTATGAAGAACTTCCCCAATTAGGTAGCCACTGGAGAAATCCTTGGCAAAGGTCTTTGGCTCTGTGAAAGTTAAACTTCCGTTAATGGACTCAAACAGTGACAATTTCAATATGTGATATTCTTTTATGCTTCAAACTGAAAACATGTTATCGAAAGTGTTTAAAATGACATGTTCACTACCTAGCAAGTAACTATGGGTTTTCATGGTTTCCCCAAATGGTTTATTGGTCCTTTGTTACCGTTGCTAATGACATATCATAGCCTACCAATCAATATCACTTGACTGTGTTGATAAGTCATCAACTGTCTTTCTAATTCGACGTGTAGCTTCCAAAATGGCGATGTCAGAGTTTTCAAATGTAAAGTTAGAGTTAATTGGGCTAGCAGGTAGCTAGCTAGATAACGATAACTTTGTTTACACTTACCAATCGCTTTTGACAGCTTTAGTTCCTCGTTCAGCCACCTGCACAAAATATCCGTCATCTTATGTCTTTTAATTAAAACCCAGACTATATACTACTGCATAATAATGGACATGGTTGAAGTTAATCGTAGGAGCTCGATAATAACTGTTGAAAAACAGCCGAGGATATCCCAAGGCAAGGGGGCATTGTTGCCATGGTGACGCGTCAACAGAGTTGTCCAGCACGCGGGGGGAGGATCAAGCTGGCCCTGAATCAGTTTTCTTTTCTACGCTCAAAATAATGCTGTGATGCAGTGACTGCAAACTGATCCAGAACCTGTACAGCTCCACACTTAAGAGGGCCATCAGGGGCGTTTGTATTTTTAGCAGCACTTCACTGCCATCCTTTTGCAAATTAGAGAAGAAAAGAAAATAATCACTTGTGTTTAGTGTATGTGTATTGTACTACTAAAACCTATAACCCATTGGTTATGGTAAATGGCAACAGACTTTTAATATCTATATAGAAGTGGAAAATAAAACATATTGACAAATTGCCAGACAAATGACTTTATTGCATTTAAACAAGCAGCATTTCGATTTGTGTTATAAGTGTTAACATGTATTTATTAACTCAGAAGCACATTGTTTTTTATCCATAGTTAAATGTTCTGCAAAATATCATGACAATTAAAATGAAATTAAAACCTTTTTCAGGAACACCTATTTGTAGTCATGTTGTTGTGCACAACATAAGTCAACGCAATTTGTTTTAAGCTATAAGGTAACTTAAACATGGTATTTAAAGGATTTACCAGCCACTTTTTTGTAGTAATAGATTATACAACATGCATAATTTCACAAAAAACATCCAAGACCAGAGATGAATACTTGTTAGGCAGCAAGTTTACCCTGCTGTAAACCTAACAGAAGTGTAACTTTCCACAGTGTAAGCATCGGTTCAAATAAAAAATGTAGACAGACCATAGAAAACAGGTAGCAGACTAAACGGAAATGTGCATGTCAGCATGTAAGAGTCTGCATAGTTTTACCAATAATTACAATTTGTCTGGCAAGTGATACTGCTGTGATAAGGAAGTAGAATACATTTTATAAGCAGCCAGGATCACAATTCTACATCAGTTTACATGATTGTATCGACAAAAAGCTTCTATGTAAGTACACAACAAATATACAGACAAGTGTGATGCTTTTATATATCAGAGGACTTTATATATCTGGTGTCGCCAAAACAAACATTTGCTCTTCTTCTCACAAGAGACAACTCTGCTTTTTGTAGAATAGGTAATATCAATTTGATTTTCGTAAGAGAAAATAAATGAAAGAAATTTACAAATATGTACAATTAGTTGTGTAAAAACAAAGATTTAGAGAAAAAAATAAAAAAGGTGCCATTTGTGTTAATACAAATCAACCCAAAGGCATGTAACACATTCATAGGTTAGTCTGCAAAGCAGAGTTTGTTTGAGAAAGCAGTCATGTTTAAATACTTAAAACACACTTTAGCACTGCCTTGAAGTTCACTGATCTCAAACCGGTTGTTTTACCCCTTATTCAATATGATAGTGAAAGCTGTAGTTTTATCTTTTATTTTTAAACATTTTCCCCAGTTAAAATTAACATCAGTGTTACAAGACAAAGTACAAGGAGACGTTTTTCTCAGTAGTCAAAGAGGACTGCCTGCGCTGCCTGTCATTAATTCATCATCAGTGAAGCCATCCATACTATAGTCAAAGTCCTCATTCATATCACAGTAGTTTTACTTAAAGCTTGTTGGCTGGAGGCACTAAGAAACAGTAACCAAGGGCTGCCACATGGGCCTGAGAGATATGGTAAAAATAAACATCCTGTTTACCGCTGGATTAGAATATAAAATATTATTTGCAAAAATCATACTTTTGGGAATCCTAGGGCTGTTTGACCCATAATGGAGATGACGAATTGCTTTCAATTTAAGAATATTCATAAGGCCATTTCAACACATTTTTGTATAGAAGCATTTCAAGATTCCTTTTTCCAAGAGGCGTTGAGATAAATAAAGGGGATCAAAACATTTTACATTTGAAAACAAACATGTTTTGTAGACTTAAATCTTCCAAAAAATAAACAAGTTTTCACTCACAACAATGTGGTAATTTTATTTTAACCAAAGTTTTAAAAAAATCAGCGTTTACTGAAGTTGATTAAAAGGGACTACTTTGTAGATGTTACGCACAGTGCCAGAGGATTCTGGTTGTCCAATAAAATAAAGCTTTTATTGTAAAACTTTTTTTTCCCTTATACATAACATTTAGAAGCAAGGCATTGTGTGAAAATTAAGTTGATGCACAAGACTGGAAGCATTATATTTATCAAGGCAATTAAAACACTGCAAATAACCATCCAAGTTAATTAACATAATCTGTCTAATACCAATTATCAACTTGAGGATAAAGCAAATCACATAGCTACATAAAAAAGGATACTGACCTTACTCTAAAATAAATACATTTTCAACAAAAGAAATACTGCAAAAAGAAAGTAACATATCAGTGTGTTAGTAAATTAATCTGTTTGTATTAATGTTCTAGCTTATATCAGTGTATATATCCACAGGACTCATCACCCTTACAATTCCAGACCATTACTGACAGCACCACTTGTGTATCTGTGTAAAATATTAACTTTTCTTATTTAAAAGTTCATCTTTCAACATCCCACTGTTCAGACAGTAATTTGTGAAAAATAGATCACATCTATGAGGATAGGAACCACCTTGTTATTGATCCAGGAGAGTGCCATCTTAACATGCATTTAAAATGGTATCACTTTTATTTACAGCTTAATGCCTCTTTTTCTTTCAGGAGCTCATTAACTGTCACAAAACAGGTGAGATTATCCCAATGGCGGACCAGCAGAAGACATGGATACTTTCTATAGAAACTGTTCTTTTGTAGTGTTGTCCAACAAATATCCTTTACCTTTTTTGTGGTGTCATTTGGTTTAAAACATTCATATTTTAATGGGTCTTCTGTAGTGTAGTGAAGTTCATATCACAGTCAAATAAAAACATCTGAAACGGAAGATAAACTGGATGTACTCAATTGTAACAGGATATGCCATTGCTAACTGGCCTTCAGACGGAGTCACTGGAAAGGCATCGAGGGGATGTTAGCACCACCAGGTTGCCAGGGGGTGCTATAAATATGGTTTAAAAGAATCATACAGAAATATCTTTTTTAAGCGGTTTGCTAGGAAAGAATAGTTTTGATATATAAATATACAGATTTGTATCTATGATATTTGCATGACATAAAATTAACTATATACACTTTTCTGTATCTTTGGAATAAACCACTTGAATGGCATTATAGACTTGCTGTTTAAGTGCAACTGTAATGTAGTACTACATCAGAGGGGACATGTAGACTGATGTAGACCATATGGATTAGGCTTGTTTTGTAAATGACACTGGTAAAAGCACTGAATCCAAATGTGTTATGTAACCCCCCTGGCCTGGCGGCTAGTATTGAGAGAGAGATGATTTATGGTTTTGTGGATGACAGCAAGTTGGTTAACCATGTTGCTGCTGATGATGAGGGCTGTCGTTTCTCCTCTGTATCATCCTCTCCATCAGGGAGGAGGAACTGAGTGGAAGCAATTGAGGTGGGGGAACCAAGAGAGGATGCACGGCTGCGACCTTCCCCATCGTCCACCGGGGAGTCCATTTGCCAGGAGCTCTGGGGTTTGTAGCCACTAGCAGCCTGGGACTCTGGAAAAGGATTGGGTGACGCTGGGCCCGTGTCATCACTAGGGACTCTAGATTGCATCTGGGGCCGGTAACCTCCCCCTCCTTCTGCACAGAAGGATGGGTCAGCCTGGGGTATGTGGCCCTCAGAAGAGCCCTGAGGATCTAGCTGGAAGACAAAAGAAGACCCTGATGTCTGGATCCCCGTGTATGTCACATCGGTGCGTGCTGAATCTAAAGAGGAGGCGGAAGAATCAGAGGAGTCTGGGTAACGTGGTCTTATGGGCCGCTCATCTACTACTTGGTTGTAGTAGCGTAATGACGTTGGCTCATCTGTGTCAACTAGCTCGTCTCCTATCCCCTGACCATCTTCATCCTCATCTTCTTCAGGAATGACGACGAGCGCTTCTTTACTAGAATCCCACTCAGGCCTTTCTACCATATGGACCAAACTGTGGTGAGGAGGCTTCACATCCAACGGTGCCTGTGAGACAAGAATCATTATTTTAAACACTTCATTAGTTACACAGGAGAAAACTGCCTATCAGGAACATACAAAAATTGTCAATAGTTATATATATTGAATTATTTTAGTGGTAAGGGTCAGATGAGTTAGACTGATAATGTACCTGTGACCTGGACCAATCACCAGGCAGCTTGGGCTCAGGTATGTCTGGATAGAAGGCCTTTTTCACCCTGGTGACAAGCAAATATTTTCACTTTAAAAAACATTTTCATTACATTTTTACAAATTAAAATAGTACCTCCTTATAGAGAATTTTTAAAACAGTTCTAAAAGTTATTGCTACTGGATATTAGCTACAATATTTATAAATCTCACATGAAAGAGACACAGGATATAGCTTAACATTCTCACCATTTCCGTTTCTTGTAGCATAAAAAGGTGACAATGACCAGGAATAAGGCTGTCACTCCCAAGGAAGCCAAGATTTCCAGAATCAGCCAATCAGCTGTCAGGACAAGACAGTAGAGTTATTAGAGATATTAGAACTAAAGGAAGATTACATTCTTCCTACTTTGGAATATAACTCACAGTGTGTTCACTTGTTAATATTTATTTGTACAAAATCCGTTTGTACATGCAACTTTTGTAATAGTTGTAGAATAAACACAAATGTAAATGACCAGTTAAAGTTATTAAAATATAACTATACATGCACTTACTGAATGGCTCCAGCATTATGGAGGCAGTGGCACCCGTGTCCTCTCCTGCTGAGGTGTAGGCCTTGACAGTAAATTTATAGGAGCCTTCAGAAAGACCTTTGACTGTGTAGCTCCTGCTTCCTGGGTCTGACAGGTTGGCTGTGTAAAGCACATGTGCAAGCAAGAAAGTGGCATTGGATACAAATAAAATCCAGGAAAATGGAGGGAGAAATGAGAAGGAAATTGTGTAAGTTTAACAGGATAAAGAATGCACATTCATATTTTGATGATTGTTGTAATTAATGCATTTGTATACATTTACCTAGAAGTGTGAGCTGTGAGCCACTGCTAATGTATATGTTGTAGCCCAGAAGGAAGCCTCTTCTGCTGACCAGCGGGATATGTCCCCAGGTCAGGAGAATATCAGAGTCCTCCTGGGTGGTTAACAGAGACAGGACAGGACTGGAAGGGACTGTGGAAGGGGAAATAAAAACAGAGGGGATGGGTGAGAGGAAAAACAAAGGAAATTAGAACAAAGACTAAGCAATTACAATGTAAAAGTATGATTTATGAAGTAATTGCTTCTTGGAAGTATAGGTTACTTCACATGCAGTGCTATCCTTACCAAGCTCCTGCATGTATCCCTGCCAGCGCTGCAGCAGCTCTGGGGCCTCGGAGGAGATGCTGTACAGGGAGAAGTTGTACCTCACACCCGGCTGGAAGTTGGCTGATGGCAAAGAAAGATGTTTAATTTTTTTAAATCACTAAAAACTGTCCAAAGTAAGGAATGACAAGGGGTGACAATGATGGCGGAGTTTTTTCTACCTGTGCTGTACATTCAAAATGTTTTGAAAACACATTTTTAAAGACTTTGAAAGTGAATATCTTTTTAAAGGAGACATCAAGCCACGCATACCTGACTCAATGGAGACATTAGTGTTTCCAGGAGCAACCTTGATCCAGTCCACAGGGCAGTTCCACTTGCAGGAAGTATTATGCCATTCTACCACATAAGCACAGGTGGTGTTGACATCGCTCTGCCAGAACAGAGAGAAACCGCTGTCCGTATAAACTGCCTGGGACACAGCACGGGGATCAGCGTCTAGAAAGACAGAAAATACAGATAAGTGTTTCCAGACAGTGGAACCAAAACTAAATTACACAGATGCTCTCAGTACCTAAACACTTAACTCAATATTTATGTCATAATAACTTAACCTCTAAGAATAATTAAACTAATCACTTTTGCCTTCTGCCTTGCTTCTTACATAGTTAACACATTTCCACATACCTGTCAAACGTAGAGGTATAAGTACACTTGCAGGTAGAGAAACCCCTTCAGTGTTCTTTGCTGTTACAGTTGCCATAACCATGTTGTCACTACTGGCGGTAGCCATCTGTGTCAGGTTGACTGGTACAGCAAAGGTATCCGGTGGTAATATTTCTGTGTGCTGTAAACTTTCCCCCGGGCTCCAGAGAGTAACTTCATATCCTGTCATCAGACCACGACTCTGTCTTCGAGTCAGCGGCTAGAAAAAATCAAGCAAAGAGAAGGATGGGAGGAGAGAAGACAGAGACATTTTAAATCCCCTTTTAAATTTCAGGCATGCATGATATGTATTTATTCACTTCATGTCAAGTTTATTCATGTCAAAATAGAGAAAGAGAGTAAAAGAAGGAAGGACGCTAGACAGAGACGAGGTATATACGCATTGAAATAGAACAATGCACTTATGTGATGTTGCGATCAGTCTGTGTTTACTGCAGTAAAAATAGCAAATGATCATTTGTAAATCCATGATTAAAGTCTAAACTAGTTCAATAGCAAGACACAAAAAGGAAGAAATACCTTCCAAATGACCTGCCCGGTGTAGTCTTTGTTCATCCACACCCACATATCAGGAGCTTCTGGAACTGAAAGAAAACAAAAAATACAACTAAATAAAAATGATCACTGCTTCTGCTTCGTAATCGCAAAAACACTTCTACTATAAATACAGCGCATAAAATGAAAGGCAAAAAAGGAAAATATTTTGATTATATAAAAAAAGTATTTGCTAATCATTTTAGATGAGTCAGCATGTAGCAACCACAATTATTTGTTACAAACCATTACACATAAACGGCTCAATACATCCTGGTAACGCCCAGAATATTGAAATGAGTGTCTGAAAACGAAATAGCTGTTGTTTAAATCAATTTGGTATTTTGGACTGTTGGAGATCAAACAAGCAATCTGAGAGAAATCACGTTGGGCTCTGACAATATGTGCAGTTTCACAGTTTCTAACCCTTTTATAGAAAGAAATGATTTAATAGAAAAAACTGAAATCTCTTATGAACTAGAGACACTTTACAAAAGATAAAACTTTTACCAATGCTGCTGCTTGTGAAGGACATTGTTTCGCTCCAGCTCCCCCACTTCCAGAAATTCTGCTGGGCACCGCAGCGGACTTGAACACTGTAGTCCTCGTAAGGATACAGGTCGGGTAGGACTACCGCCCGCAGACCCACACCAGAGAAGGTATGCTGCACACACACACATAAGACAGCATTATTATGTGGTTTATTAAAGGTCACACAAACGGGGAGAATATGCTTACACAAGCTCGCATTTGTAAAAAGTAATGGAAGGCCATTATGTAAAGAATGTTGTAAAGGAAATGTAGGTGAACAATGGAAGTTATCTAAGTGACTGACATATTAAATATACACAAACCAATTAAAGATGGACCAAAAAAACGAAGAGAAAGATTGTTCTGTACATTAAGACAGGCAGAGGAAAAAAAACACATGCAAATTGACAAAATGGTCCTTATCATCAACATACACACAAATAAGCAAACAACTTACATTTGTTTTGTACCCTTGGGAGGTGAGCTCCACCTGGCAGAAAAGAGCCAGGGAACTGTAGCCGTCGTACTTCCATTGCCACAGCACAGTGGCATTCGTGGCATGGGCAACAAAGGTCAGGTTCTCTGGTGCTACTGGAGTCACTGAGGAGGGAAAACAATCAGTGAACTGAGGGGTGTGGGGCTGTGCTTTTTATGTGTACATTACCTTTACTTTGAAAAAAATACTGTCCGTTGATTTTGATAAGGTTAGGGTGATACACCTACCTCTGTGACTGAGCTCAGCGGAGTCAGTGAGGCTGTACTGGCCGAGAAGATTCACAACCAACAGGGTCCAGTTACCCTCCCAGTGGTCCACACGACGCTCCTTCTTCGGGTTCCATGACCAGCTCAAATTAAATGTCCTACAGGGAAAATATAATAGATCTAAAATAAACGGGGATCTCTAAGAACACAAATGTCAAAGCAACCTAATGACATCAACTATAATCACTTTAGTTTAGACAGGCAATCTGACCTACAGACAAAGGCCTGAACACATTCATAATGTAACTTCTCTTCAAGCCAGCGTTCAGACTATTCCTGTAAAAGGCCTGGCAGAGAGCCTACACTATATACACCAACATGTTTTAATGGATACACAGAAGCAGCAAGTGGTTACTTTGACTAAGTGCCTTTTTTTTCTTATAATTATCTTTCTGTTGGTTGATTTTTTTTTCTTCCGGAAAGGCAGTCATAACAACTATAAATAATGCAGGGGTCATTTCTCAGAAAGTGGCATTATAGTCGGTCTTGTCCATAAATCGCTGAGAATCTGACTCAGGTAAACATCCATCATTGCCACTGCTATCCCGAACCTTTATGACTTTCCAATTTCCAATGAATTAAAAGCATTTTAATATCTTAGTCAGCTACATATACTATTGTTTAATTAAATAGGCTTTGGGTTCTTTCACACAATAACTATTAGCTTGTTGTGAATGACAGAATGATGATGTTCTGCTACCCAACCTGAGCCCTACAGTATCATAAGGTTTAATGTCGGGTTAAAGCCATTTTGCCGGGTACATGTGTGAGCCCAGATGAAGTTCAGCCGTTTTTAAAGGTAACGTTTTGCATATACGAGTGACTGTGTTACCTATTGTTCAGTGTGTAGCGTGTTCCTCGTGTCTTCTTGTACAAATTTGTGTTTCGTCTTTCGTTCCACAAGCACACAGCCGAGGTTAGGTCATGAGTCTCACACACAAAATCACTGGGCAGTGGAGGATCTGGGGAAGAGGAAAATAATTAGTAAGTAACTTCTTTGTTTAATAATATACAGTACATGTAATGATAAAGACTATGTAAACATAACAAAATAAGATTAACAGTTCAGTTCTTTTTTATCTTACATCCAACAAACACCACCGCTCCAATTACAATTTCTTTGAAGCTATTGTAACAGACGACGTTGGTTCCCGATGGGCCGGACAGACCCTGATTAACCACTGTAGTGGCGTAACTTCGCCTACTCAGTCGGGTTGTGTTCATGACTTTATTGCCGTAGTTGATGGTACCAAACTGCTTCCCCTCTTTCACAATACAACAGAAGGTGGTATTGGCCCCCACGGGTACGACTCTGTCGAGGGGGAACATCTGCCATTCCTCTTCACTGGGGAGGTCGCTACCTAAATAAGGAGAAAGAAAAGAACGTAGTGTTTACAATGTTCAAATGACAGACAAAAGGGTAGCCAGAGATATAAATAGTGATCTTTAATAATTAGGGAAAGCCATTTTTTTGTAGAAGCTTTCAGAGGAAAACATTAATCAGAAATAGCCCCCTAGAAATTGAAGGTCAAGCAAAGCAGCATTTATGTTTATGTGAGTTGTGGCCCCTCTGACCTTGTAGTATCTCAGTGTTGCTCCATTCACTTGTTGACTGTCCTTCTCTTGAGCAGATTTTGAAGGACAGCGAGGTACACTGCAGCGGTTCAACTGAGGTCCAGTTCCACTCATGCCGACCGCTCAGCTGACTCACCATCACAGACACCGTCTCCTACAGATAACACACAGAAAACCCAGTGAGGGAAAAGAACATGAATATGCTAGATGACACTCATCGATCAAACAGGAAAATACACTTGTATTATTGCACTCAATGATTATATCAAATAAGCTATGATTGCAAAGTGTATTGCCAAGACAAAAATATATTTAGTTGTCAACAAATGCATCAGATGTAAATTGTAGGTCGGGCTATGCCTATTTTTGCATAAGGATGTACCCAACTTGTAGCATAACTGTACAATAAGAGAAGATGATAACTAAAACAGAAATGCTCTTACATAGAAGACAGTTTCATTGAGTTCAGTTCTTAGGATCATGAGGTCAAAGGTCGTGGCTGCTCCTGCCAGCCATGATATGGATAGTTGTTGTGAGTCCATGTTGGTTGACAGGCTCACCTGCTGTGGTACAGTAAGGACTGGAAAAAAGACCATGATTAAGTGATTTCAATGAGTAAATTCAATCAGATTAAGTTAATAGCTGCAAAATGTTTGTTAGTATCAGCCAGATAGAACCAAAGAAGACAGCTTTCCATATGGACCTGCAATCTTTCATCAATATTCAAGACTTTTCACTTTGTGTGCATTGAGCATAGTAGATGATTAATTTATAAGAATCAGAGTGGAGTTTGCTTCTTACCATCATTGGCATTAGTGTGTACAGCCAATAGGCCTAGGAGGACAGAGATGAGCCATACCGTGCTACAGTTAGGCTTTGAGCTGGGATTGACACTTAAGTGAGGCATGGTGTCCAACGAGCGGAGTCACTGTATGCTGATCCTAAGGTCCACTACAGCAACACCATGCTACACATCCTGAGAGGCAAGGTGGGTCTGGGGGAGCAGACAGCAGAAGAGAGAGAGAACAAGGTCAAATGTACAATGAATAAATAATACAGTTCTGGTAAAACAACATATAAAACATTCACTTTCAACCAAATCAAAATGAGAGTGTCCCTCATTTGGAAACCTATTTTGTCTAAATAATACTGGTTACCTGAAGACAGTCAAGTCAAGTGGTGTTTAATACTGTGAAGGTGTGGTGCTGAGAAGAGGACACCTGTGAACTGTTTTTTTTAAATGCAAACCAAATGCCCTGTGTATATTCAGACTGCAGGCACAAAGTCGTTTTTATTTGAAAGCTTAAATGTTAGGTGAGTATGCTCGTCACTGGTTCTGGCTGTGTAGTTTTTCGTGTGTTAAAGTATTATCACATTGTTATACTGCAACAGTTAACTTATATTGAGGATACAAAGGGACTAAAACAAGATAGAATGTGTTTCAGATTTCCATACTAAAAAGAGGTTATCTGCAAAAACATCTAATTTTGTTATGATTCTGGGAAATCTAACCAAGAAACGGATAGCTACAAATGCACACGAACACACAAATCAATATTTCTCTGCTGGGCTCTGACACTCCTTATAAATGTAGCCACAAACTACAATGACAACACGGATACTGAGAAACATAATCTCACCCAAAGAACACTGCCTCTCTCCACACTGGACTTTGCCACTATTCTGTTTGACTAATCAGACTGCCAAGGCACAC